GTATAGCCGTATAAGTAGGTGGTTATTAACTAGTATTGTCATTATAGTCATATATATGATATGTTAGAAGTGCGCAATCTTCCGTGACCCCTAAAATTTTGTTGAGACAACCCCACCCTCCTCTCTTTACACACAGGCACACAATTAATAAATAAATAGTAAATACATAAAATATAAAAGCAGGAATTCAAATTTTAAAATAATACAGGAAGAATAGATAGAGGTTCATCAAACTTAAATTTTAAAACGATAAAATTACGAATTTACCTACTTGGATATTTGACATAATTTTTATACGTCTATGAAACATGGTATAGGTTTCAAATTTGAAACCACAGCTAGTAAATATTCTTTAAAATTCAATCTTGAATCATATTTTTTTCAGAAAATGTGGTTTTACACAAATAAGCTGAGCGAATAGGATGTAGAGACGATGTTGCTTATTTTAAAAATTCTGGGTATCGCGTTTAATGGGGATCCAAAATGCATCACATAATATGTAGTTTCTCGATATTTTGTACGTATATTTTAGTTCTTTGAAAAATTAAAAGAGTAGAATTAGTTCATCGCTATCATTTTTAAACTTACATTTGGATTTATTTCATTAGTGTTAAAAATACGTCTTTGTTTCAACATACCCAATGTGGCAATGTCCCAATATAACAAAATATACTATTATATTTGGCCACCAACTACATTTTCTAGACCCCCAGGTTACATACCACGGGGTATGTAATGATTATGTAGTATTGTAGTTATTTAGATCCTGCATATAAATATTATACATATATTTAAATTTTTATATATCTGTCATAATGCAATGTAGGTACACTATATTATACAGTTATGAAATTATATAAATGATAAGTATACTGTCATAAGGTCATCACACAAATATTTTGTATGTTTAACTATCAAGTAGCACACTACTACACTAGTACCTATACCTATCGAAATTGTAATTAATAGCATATAATCTGATAAGAACTAAAAATAATACTAAAATAAATAGTAATTATCATAACATATATTTAAAAAAAGATAATTTAGTTTATTTCGGTTCTTATAATTGGAACATTAGTGTAGGCATTCCAAATAACAGTTATTGTAAATGCCTTAAAGTTAATATACGTGATGGACAATGGTTCCATTTAATAATAGTATCAAGACATTATAAAAAAATAAGTTTGTAATACACATTGAATACAATATTTTCTCATTAGTCATTAACCTTCCGTATTTAAAATCACAATAATTATATTTTATATTTTTATATAGGTTATTTTTTTTTGTCTACATGACTACATTTACACATTGTTAAATCTACTATAGGAGTATTGGACATGACATTGGTGTTGGGTTATCCTGTCAGCCTGATACGAAAAACAACGGTTAAATAGGTAGTTACCTACCTAAACTAACCCATTAAAATTCATGTTTTATTGTAGCTCTGTCTTGTTATTATTCTTATAATTATTTTACATTCATCATAGTACCTAAATATTTTTAATTTTGAGGGAATGTATGTACATACTTCTATAATTCTACCTTTAGTTTTATTTAAATGTGTTTTCTTTCATTCACATATTGTCATCAAATCAAACATACATTTTATTTTGAAGGTTACACTCTGTTCACGGCTGAAAGAAGTTTTTCGTATTGATCGAGGTCAAATAATAACTTATATTTTTTTGGTTTGAAATAACTATTTATTTGATTTGTATATTATAATCGAATATTATTTTTACATAATTATATGCGATAGTTTTATTTGACTGTCTTTATATGACTTCAGTTACCGCAATTTCACAATTTTCACTTAGATTTGTTATTTAATAGTAGAATACAATTATTATTAAATCAAATATACTACGAATACTAGAACAATTGTTCAAACTTCGAATACCATTGTTAAAATAAAAAATAATTTATACTTCGGTCTTCCAGACAATTTTAAATTTGTCTTATTATTTGGTTATTTAATAACTATAACAACAAAGCATTTCTATAAATGGTGTATGAGAATGACACTGCAGTGAAAACATAATTTAAAAACTCCAGAAATAAAATATTTTAGTAAAAGTAAAATGTTTGCCTACATCTGTTGTATTTTGTAGTTGCTGGGTATGTTTATTTTGTAGAACGCTTTATAAATATAAGAAAAAATGTTTTACTTGATTTGAATTATGTATTTTATACCAAATATCATTAACTCAATTAATATTATTGTAGCAGTACAATACACAAAATAAAAATACAATTTTAATAGTCATTAAATAAAATTATATCATTATCCGGAGAGATTCATAACTTGCATACAAACCAAGAATACTAATTTTAAAAAATCTCTGTGGTACTATAAAAAAACCCTGTGTAAAATTGACTCTATTCACCCCATGTTACGGTAAAGCTAAAGCATATCATATTATAAATTATTTGATGTAGGTACCTATATCTATACCTGTAGGGACGATGTGGCACGGTTGCTTTATTGAGTCATTAAGATCAGATTCAAATTTTTAATGATGGACATTTTATGGTATATAAATAAAGAAACCACCTAACTATTATAATTTATAAGTTAGGCATACATCGATTAAAGATTTAAATGAGATTTTGTATGGTTTTCGTACACAATATTCATATAATGTAGTTTTATTAATTTTTGTAAATTAGGTAATCAAATGCTCCAATCTTCAACAAATCGAAAAATATTGTAACATTAACGTATGATTACAGACTCCAGTGTACTTTAAAAATTTTCATCTGCATCCCAAATTACCTGTATTGGATTAAAATATTTTGAAGCATACGCATAACATGTTATATAGACTGTTTTAATTAAATAGGTTCATATCCTAATTATATAAACATCAACCATGATTGATTTAATTTGCTTGATTTTTTTGTCAGTACAAAGTAGGTACTACACAATAAATAAATTATAATATAATAGATATTAGGTATATGATCATTGATTAGAAATAATGTAATTCACTATTGAAAAAAAATTAATGGACATAGTATACTACTACGATATAATTAAAATATATCGTGACTCGTGATTACAGTTGTATTCTGGATTTGTATAGTACCGTGTAGAACTGAAGACTGTAGATAATATAATATTCATATTACAATGTAATAATATTTAGAATTATATCACCTAAATGTGTGAATTAATTTTACATATTAAACCTTCGTCTGAACAAAAATCACTACAAAAGGTTCTTTAATAAGTTAATAATTTATTAAAATGTAATTTGAAATTAAAATACCATTCACATATTGCAGTGTTCAAAATATCAAACGATGACAAACAATTAGCGAACCAATCGTTGCACGATATTTGTTGAATTAATCTTGCCGTAGTCTAAACAAACACATTCATTAAATTTTGATGAAGAACATAAAAACTAATAAATAACAAATTACTAATAGGCTATTTCTAAATAAAATCGTTTAAGCAGCGTTGGCTATACAGAATACAGACATCGAAACATTACTTTATTAATATTATAGTATTACTAAATTGTTTAGTGTTTAGCATATTATAATTATTGGAAGAAAGATAGGCAGAAATTCTATTATAAATTTTTTTTTTTTTCAAAAATCGAAAACCGGTAGTACAGTTTTATTCCATTGTACCATCAATATTGTTTGGCCTATTTTTTCCAGCAGTCTAAAAGACCATGAAAATACACGGGGAAATAGAAATATATAGCGTACAGCTGTGGCAAATGGTACGGAAGTAAAATATTGCTCGATAGAGTGTTATTAATTTATAAAACATTCGACCGCGAGATGAATGATATACTACCAATCGATGGCGTCGGGTGGGTGATGGGGAATGGGGATACGGGATTCAAGACTTCAAACACACCCATAGAAATTTTTCATCGGCTTAATATTATGCGGAATCCACCATGAAACAGAAAGTGTTTCTTTTTAATCTCTTTTCGTCTCTACATATACGTCATAATAATTAATGTCATATTTAATGTAATATTGAACACCCGTAGTGATTCTAACACATTTAACCAACGTCGCTGCAGTCGTTGTAAAAATGATAAAAAAAATCCAATTTAAATATTAACCCCCTCTATATAATATAAAATATATCACATTATATATACATGCGTGGTGTGTGCCTAACGAACCCTGATCACAGAAAATGTCCTCACCCGAGGCAATATTTATACATATATTATACAACGTTATAGGAGATAAATTATTTTTAAAAACGAAGTCACGATAAGGGTGAAAGATGATGGGTAATAATAAAATATACACTCGCTATATGATGTTAAACTGCTCTGAAGTGGAGGGATAGGTATAACGAAAAAGGTATGTACTATGTTTTTCAATCATCGTAAATCGCACTCGCGTTTATAGGCACACTCTCCAGTGAGAAAACGCAGTGGGCTGTGCGCAGCCGCCACGTACGGTATACAAACCCTGGTTACCGGCGGTAGACAGGTACCTAAATACTATACAGTAGTCCACCGCAAAACGAACATATTGTCCATATTATTATTATTGCTTACCCGTACCACGACAGTGAAAAAATAACGAAAACCACAACGAAGGTAATAAATTATAATATTGTAATATTATCAATATTATTGTAGTTAATATTTCAAATATTATTAAATTATAATAATAATGATAATATTTTACCGCACGCGTCACTGTTTCTACGACGGAGGTAGGTACGCCGCCGCGCGGTAGTTACCAATTACCGCGTGGTACGCGTACGCGCGCAGACTGTTGGGCTTGGCAGTTGGCACGTCGTCGTCGTCGTCCCGAGTTCTCGACCGGCTTATCTGTTTAATTTGTGCGTACGCCGCCGTGGCCGTCCTGATCCGCGCGGGCGCGCGCTCGTAAGCCGAACTGAATACGCGTGTACAACGCCGCCGCCGCCGGAGATAATACACGCGCGCACCTTTCCCCGCGGTTCGGCGCCGCCGCCGTCTGGTAATACAATATATAAGATCCGTTACGCGCATTCACTCGTCTCATAGGAACGACAAGTGCCCGCCGGCAAGACAGTTCTGTTCGTACGCCATATACATAATATATATACAACGTTCGCGTCTAGCACACGTTAGTTGGGGTCGCGTTTCTAAACGATTTTTCAAGTCGAGTTCGAAATCAAAATAACCGTTTGTTTTTTAAAAAAAATTTTAATCAATTTTTTTTTTTTGTAATTTCCGTGGACGACTCGCACTCGCAAGTGCCCGAAGTGATTTTTTTGTCGTAACAATATTAATATTGTAACCACAGTCCATACTGATACCGTATACGGACGTGTGTGTTGACGATTATCACACACATACGCGCACACGGTGCAGCTCACGACGGACGCACGCACACACGCGGGCGCGCTCCGCGTATTATAGCACCGTCCGCAACGACTACTGCTGCTGCCGCTATACTGCGACTACGACTACGACTACGACTACTCTCCAACTGTTGCTGTACAGTACAAGCCAACACTGGTGGTGCGACGACATTCGCTCGCCGGTAACGACCATCAGCGGGCATCAGCCGCAGCCGCCCACCGCCGACGATCAGCCCGTCCGAACATGACGTCGCCATCAGCAGCTTCCAGCTCGCGCTGTTACGTGCCCAGATCCGTGATCGTGGCCATCGTCGCCGCACTGGCGTCGTGCACCGACGCCGCCACAGTGATGACCAGAATGAAAGGTGAGACTCGTTTTTCGATCATCGTTTTTTTCCGTCCGTCCGCGTCCTACCTCAACACGTGTCCATTCGCCGCGACTGGTTCGAAAGAAAAATAGGCATATTCTATCCCTAATTTATATATCCCTATAAATTATAATCGATAGTTGTGTAGATACCTATGTAACTATTCACCATATCATTATTCTATCTTGTTCGCCCCCACCGCCTCGTAGGTCAGTCTTTGCTTGGTCAACAATTATACGGATGATTTCCAAACAAAGATAATTATATTATATTGTACAACTGTTACGACTAGAAATATATCGTCAGACGGAACATTTTAAATAAATATTAACATTTAAAAAAAAAATTTGTTTGTCACACTCCTATCGCGTATTAGCTCGGTGGACGATACATACATTTACCTTAAACGATACATAGATTTACCTTGAACGATCCAAAGACTTAAATTTACGTTCAAGTCGTTATTTCTACAACACCCGCTTACATCCTTAAAACTTACGTGACCACGGACGTGTTTTGAGAGTTTGAGACAGTCACTGTCGTCATCGTTTTGATAGTATAAAGAATAAACATTACTAAACACGTATAGGTACGCGCTTCGGGTATAATATTATAATTTTTATCAAATACTTTACTTGCATGCAAGTCATATTAGTATAACGACCGGCCGGCTCTCGCATCGATAAAAACATTATCACCGAATTGAATCGCACGTACAGACAGTCGTTCCGGTAAACCGAGAGGCTTGCGTAGATTGTAGTACGGTACCCACGTATATTATATTGCAACAATAAAGTGTACGTGAATTAACAACCGATCGGCGACGGTGGTCACTTTCGGATTGAATTTTACCGTTTGCCCTAAATCCGGGACGGGTTAATTTTTTCGATCGCAGCGTGTGGAGGATAGTGGTTTTCGCCATAACCTCAGTGAAAACAATATACCGAACACAGGACTACGTACCTATAATCCGAATCTAACACAAATATTTGCCAAACCCTCGCCCCCTCCCACTCCACACACAATTTCAGTCGAATCGTCGCCGATTGATCCCATTTATCAGTGTTGTTCGCAAAGGTCATCTCGTCATCGCATATTACTATTATATTTTGTTCGAAAAATAAAACAATTACAACGAGACGATAAGAGCATATACTATTATTATTATTTCTTCTCGTCGTCAATTAAGGTCTATAACATACGTTCCGAAAACACGAGCCTATAATAATATATCGCAGTAGAACAATAATAATAATTGATGCGACACATGTGGCAAACAGACGAGCTGGCTACAATAGCGGCGAAAAAATGTGAACACGCCACGCGCGTACAAAAACAACCGAACTTTGCAATACCTACGTCAGCACGAGCGATCGGGCGGCGTTGGTGCGACATAAATTACAATATTATAATGATGTACTATATATTATTATATTATCGTCAATAACTACTACTTCGTTCGGTGGTGGCACGATCGCGTCGAAAACCCGTCGGCTCGTACGCTTTGTAATAACGAAAATAACTGCTACGACATACGATATCGGGAATAACAACAAACAACATTATTACTATTATTATTATTATTATTATTATTACCTCCCGTGCTTTTGTTTTGTTTTTTTGTTCGACAAACAATCAGCGCGGTAGTCGTGTACAATATTATTATAATACTATAGGCCCGTATAGCGCATGGCGCCGCCGTTCGCACGTGCAACGATGGCGACAGGCGTGTGATTGCGATTCGGCCTATATAAGTATATAATATTATTATAACATATAATAATATACGACTTACGATATTATTATTATTTATTATGGTGTTGCCAGCGATGCGTTTCGAAACCGGCGAGAAAAATATGGGCGAAATCACTTGCCGCCGATCGGCGGCGATCTGTTTTATTTTCATTCCGAGCTCGTTTATAGATCGTCGGAAAGGCGTAAGTTTTGTAGGTACTTCCGGTCGTCGTGTTTTACGTGATAATAATATCATAATGTGGTGTAAGGTATAGAGATACACTCAAATACGGGTGCAACACTGCTGCACTTTGTTCGAAGAATCGCGTGGTCGCGACATAATAATAATAATAGTAATAATATTACAATGCGGTTGGTGTACGTGCGAGAAACGAGTTCCGCTTACCCACATCGCGCATATATACGACTGAGTGTGTGCGTGCGTGCTTACTTGTTTGGGTATATAGTATATAGTATACGCAGCCGAAGTCTTCGTTTCTTCATATTAATATTAAAATATTATTATTATCATAATTTAGTTCTACGCCGTTCCCTTTTCGTAAAAGAGTGTTTACAACATAATATAATAATATAAAAATATATTGTATGCTGTTGTTTTCGTCATCTGTCTAGGGTACATGTACGTCTCGAAATCGTCCACCCTCGTCCCCATTCCAACCTTGTGCCTGAGCATCTACGATTTTCAAACGAAATCATGGTAATGATATTGATGACTATAATTTTCTGACCTATTTCCGTTCGATTAAAACTTAAAAGGTTTTAAACAGTTTGGCTGATCGATAATTCTCGCGATCCCCCGACTATGGCCCGATTTGCTGTATTATTATATTTTTTCAAATCGCACATGTATTCGTTTATAATAAAATGATACTATAATTAATATTATACACGAGCGATGTGGGGACTATATTATAATATGTACGGAATGCGTGTTTACCCATCGTGTGTGTATACTATATTATATCGGTTACGGAATTTCTCGGTATCTCGGAGAGAGACGAAAAACAATCTCATCTAGGAAACGAAAAAGTTCTCTCCTCACTCCTTCCCATTCTCTCTCTCTATTTCTATCATACACACACACGTACTCTTTTCTCTCTTTTGTGACCGTGTGTCGAGTGTCGGTCATCCTCCATAGGTCGTCGTCCATTCCGTACCCCTCTCCTTACCCCTCGACCAATCCTAATAGATGACGGACGACGCGCGTGTCAGCACACTCGGCTGTAATATTATTATCATTATTGTAAATTAATATTTAACGACGGGACGAGACGATATTACTGAGATGACTCCATTTGAACAATCCGAATGATAATGATGTTATTCGAAGTGTGTCGAAACGTGCGAGCTCGATGTCAAAAAAACAACAAAAATCGCTCTTTTTATCGACGCTGGCGTAACAACGAAGCGTCGAGGTCGTCGCTTATAAACGACGCGTAGTATTATATTAAAGCCGTGCCATATTATGATCATGATATTATTATTGCGCCCAAACCGATCGTCGTCGCAAAAAAACAATAAATTAATATTATTTTCCAATAAACGGTTTTGCAGGCGATACGAGAAACGTGACTTCAGTTGTTGTTGTTTTTGTTTTTATTCGCACCGCAGCAGCTGTATTATTTATTACAATATTTATATACGATATTTTTTTTGTTTTGTCGAAGATCCCGATCCCGCGCCGGACAAAACGACGCGTACACGCATTCGTCGGTCGCGCGCGCGCACTCGATGTCGGCGACCTTTGCGAATGATTCACAATAACTGGTGAACCCCCCTCACCCCCACCCCATAGGCCGTGCCACAGCTGATGTCCAAATAGTAAAAAATATTATACCATAGGTACAGCGATATCTTATAATTGTCGATTGATGTAATAAATAATAATATATTAATATGCAATTATTGATTGATGACGTGTTTGATATATAATATATTATTATGGCTGTGTACTATTATAAACAATGTCTGTTTTCCGCGTTCTACGGCGTGGTCGTCGTAATCATAATATAATATATTGTGACCTATTATACTAGAGTGGATTGATCGGTTTTGCTAAATTGTCGTCGTTCTTTTTTTGTTCGCAGACACCTCGATGTTTAGATCCAAAGGAGCCATTGACGTGGACGGAAATGCCGCAGCGTCGGCCATCAAAGACAACGCCGAGACGTACAACTTTAACGCTCAAAACTACACAAACGCCGCCAACATTACCGGTAAGCTTCATCGCGACACGATTATTGTGTAATTGAAATATGTAGGCGGGTGAGCGAGCGCTCGTGGAAAACGGACGGGACTGGAAGGGAATGGAAAATTTAATTTCGGGAATTTCTTCCTTGAATATTGCTCGGGGACGACGACCGCAACCGATATCGATCAGAGGTGTTGCCCCACCCCCTTGCCAATCATAATAATAGTTTGATTTCCGCGACGTCGTCGTAATTGATTCGGCGAGTCAGCCGAGGATTTTAAAGTTTTATACTGTGCATGGGTAATAGGTATATAATGAACATCGTTTGCACTGATGGTGTATTCCGTAGATCGTCTTTGGGAATCTCTGATATTTGACATCGGACTTACCACGTCATGGCGCTTAATATAATATTGATATACATAGGTACATACGTTAATCGAGAATTTATGTTTTTGTCTAAAACACTTTAAAGGTGGTTATAACCCTATGCGTTTAAAACTTTGTGCAACGTAACTAAACATTCGCCGATTGCAGAAACCAACTCGGAACGATATATAATAAACAATAGACGACAATTATAGCAGCTACTTAAAACACATTCTACGTGAACAAGCCGCGCGAGTTCTGACGAGTACCACGTGCCGTAACCGCGTGTATGTAATGACGAAGAATTTTCCTTATTACTTTTTCCGTAGTGGGTACTGTTATTTCTAAGCGTTTCTATAATATTATTTGAACGTACTGTAATAATTCTTTTATAACGGTGGTCGTTTATCTTTAATAACAATAATGATGAATGATGATATAGATTTTTTTCGACCTTGAAATCTGGAGCGGGTAATAACATCAATTGCTTACACAATTATTACACTTATATTATTTCATATTACGTCTTCGTAGGTAATAAGTTCATAACTTCAATAATATATTATATTATGAGTGCGTACCTCGGGCTCACCGGCATGTTTTACTAGAGTCAATAATACCTTTGAGATCGCGTGGCGTGCGATTCGCGGTGTACCTATCTATCTGTTATTATGACAATATGAGCGACGCGCGTGCCGTCCGATAATAACAAGGTGACAGTAGTTGGTTTTTTTTGTTTACTACATACGCAGATCGGTTGATGTTTCGCTATATTATATATTATATTATTATACCATGCATAATATTATATTTTATATTTTTTTTTATTTATTATATAATAAGACATTCCTATTTCCTAGCCATTGTAGATTATCTACATATACGGATATTTACAGAATTTTTTTATTTCTATTCTAACATGATAATAATTCATACATAATACATATAGCTATAATTAATACTCTTACATATTTGTCATGAATTATAACATTATTTTTTTTTGAACTATTATTTTATATTAACAAAATTAACGAATACTAATCTTGTCTACCAAATGTAATTTTACTTTACATTACTAATAGGTATTCGGCCATACGATTTCTTATATGCATAGTCGAGTTTCATATCCAGATATCCTGGTATTCGGTAAAAAAAATACTCAATTCTGAAATACCGTTAAAAGCCGAAGCTCTCAAAACAGGCATTATTTTATGGGCGTTTCTTATAGATATTACTATATTAAATCATTTAATTGCCATGGATACTGTAATAATACTTAATCCTCTCATTTAGAGTGTTCGATATCGGCCATCTTATCGGCGCGGGACAGTATATATTAATATATAATAAAATATTGTGTACAATAATTTTATATATTTTAATTTTAGTATCTATCTATAATATTAGCTGTTTATAACATTGTGGTCGTTCCATCTATCTTATCTGTTTGGAGTGGGTAATAATTTTTGTAAATACTTTAATCCTCTTCTCAAATTTTCGCCAATAAAATCATAAACAAATACGTCATCCATAGGTATTCTGCTCTCGAACGACTATTATTTTTATTACTGACCATTATATCACCTACGATATTAAGCCTCGCTTTATCGCCCGCGCACGTCGAGTGTCTGCAGATTTAAAAACAAATAATTGTATTCGGATGTTACGAGATTTATTCGTGGATTTTTTTTTATATCATAGCTGTCGTCGTTCAACTCTAATATTATCGAACGGTGTAATGTTTTACATTTACAAGGGCGTCCGCAGAACCAGACACGCAGTGTAGCGAATATGTAGGTAAACACATTTTGCCAGGTGTGGTGCAAAAATAATAGCCATTAGGCAGGTTTTAAAAATTTCCAAGACCACTATAATATACACACTGTAAACGTTTATACCAACGTAATAATAATATGATTCGAACTCTGAGAGCGGTTTAGTAGGTATATTATAATATTATAACCTATGTCTCACTATAGCATGCGTTTTCAATATTGTAATCGACGACAGCAGATTATTACGAAATTCATTTGCTCCTCTATAGTGCGACGGTTGGCCAATAAAATATTATGTTTATAATATGTTTTAAAATTTTACGCAGAATCCTGTAAGATTGCTTTCTCGTTTCTGCACGTTCAACCCCTGCCTAGTTATATATGTTATTTATTACATGATTTACGTAAATCGGCATTTTTCGCACCCAACTCTGTTTTACTTGAATATTTTATTTTTATTTTTTCGGATACCAGTAAGTTGATATCTGTATTATACATATCAATTAATTTTCTATACAAAAAAATAGCTACCGTAGTGTTATTTCTATAACTTTTTAATTACGCGTCATGACGAAATATTTATCGACTTTTGGTACCCTAATCGTTAATCGCTTATACCTATCAAAACATTTATGTATATTGTATATATATTACAGCAGACTATATAGGTTTATTAACTATTATTTATTATAGTTATAAGTGCATCTAATCGAAAATAATATTTTAAATCCCAGAGTCGTAAAATGATGAGACCGAATTTGTATTAAATTGTATATTTTATCGTTAATTCTTTCGACAACGATTACTTTCATCATTATCGTTTCACGTATCTACAGCAATATAATAGTATTATTATAATACATAATATACATTTGAAATATATATCTTAATCCGCATTTGCGGCTGCACGCGCACCGTCGCGACAAGCGACTAATAATACGGTCGTTGCGTAATATTCTTAACGAGCAACAACAAAATATTATATATTATTATAAATTCGATCAGTATATTATACTACATACCTACTTCAATGTAAGACTTCGGGCTTATGAAAATATATAGAACGTAAAATAATCGATAGACGTTGAGTCAAAAAGTCAAATTCAGTCGTAAAAAAAGTAATGACGTCATCGGAGAAACCTGGACTGAACCGGAAAGCCGGAAATGTATAATAATAATATATTGTAAATAGTGTACATACACAATATAATATTAATTTATATAATTGCTGTCTGATTAATATTATTGGTTCCGGTTTGGATAATGGATTCTAAGGTTTTTATTGGAGACATTCGTCGAAAATGAGTTCAGGGGGTGTAAACCCCTTGCTCCTCCCTTTCACTACCCCTGAAACTTACAACTTTTTATATATAATCTAATTAATGATAAAGTCGGATATTTTGTCTCTCGTGAAATTTCAACATCTGATTTTTTTTTATATTATTAAATTTAATTGGCTATCGAGTTACTCCAATTGCGATTTCAATCACCATAAAATATATTATGTATGTTATCAAAATCGGCGTCGTTTCGAAATCGTAATGGGGTAGTAAAATAAATTATACCTTCCAATCTACCTAATATATATCGTATTATAAATTATTAGTAATGGTCGACGGAGGGGTGAAAAAATCGCGCGATTAACTGATGTACAGATGATGATTAATGTAACCGACAATTTAATAATAAACATTTTTTTTTTGTGTGTTGTGCAGACTCGGAAGACGACGACAGTACGTCCGGTGCAGTGGCCGACGAGGAAGCGCTGTCCGCCGTGTGGTACCTAGCCGCGTTCGGTGGCCTGGTGCTCTTCTTCTTCGTGGTCACGTGCTCAGAACTTTTCTTCGGAAATCCCATCTACACGCGCCGTCCCGTTGAGCTACCGCACGCCGGCTACCTGCGCCGCCATGTGTACGGCATCCGGAACCACGGACAGCACCACAACTACAAGCCCGAGACGCCGCCCCCACCATACCACCTGTTCGCGCCACCCAGCTACGACGACACCGTCAAGGGCGGATTCGGCCAGGTGCTACAGCAGCAGCAACAACAGCAGTACCACCACCGCGTTCCGGGCAAGAAACTCGCCGACGTATACGTGGTGCCCGTGCACGCGGCCACGACCGCCGCTACCGGCGCTACCACCTGCGCTGCCGGCGCCACCACCTGCGCCACGTGCACCACTAACGCCGTGGCCGTTGCGGTGGCCGACGCCAAACTGCTGGCCGCCGTGTTGCCGCAAATGAAATTCAAATAATCGTCTCGGCCGCCACCGACACCACCCTCACATTTCTCCTCCCATCATTATTCGTTCTCTCATCATCGGTTCGCCACTGGATTTTTACCCCTTCGGACGGACCGGGATGGAGGGAGACGACGACGATGACGACGACGACGGCGACAAGCTACTAATGTTTTTTCGCCCGAGAAGACGACCCTCGAGCGATATAGTAATATAATAACCAAAAACAATTAGTTAATAATATTATAATATCTCGTATGATATTATTTCTCATTCTCCCTCTATCTCTCTCTCTCTCTGCCGTCGTGTCGTATCACTGGCGCGTTCTTTGATCTCATTTTTATACATATGTGTACATATTCAAACGTTATTTTTATACACGGTCACACATACACACACTCACTACCTTATACGTGAGTTAATATTATATACACGATTATGTAATGTTACGATAAACGCGTTATAATATGGTTATTATTCGTACACGCGTAGTTTGTTCGCGTTCAGGCATTGTTGTTCGCACACGATGATGTCAATAAATATTGTGTTTATATAATTAAATATTATTCGTACAACTCTGATTACTTTCCATACGTTTTTATATCTTATTATTTATTATTACTATTATAATTGATGGATATGTGTGTGTGTGTGTGTGTGATATTTTTTTATATATTATATTCATAATTATTCATTATTTTTGTTTATATACATAATATAATATTTAATTTTATGTACACACTGCGCTCGTGCGGTGTGGTATAATATAACGTTAAAACAACGATGTATCATATTATTATTATTATTATTATTTATTTTATTTATCGCGTATAACGCGCGTCAGTCTGAACAGCGGCCGACCGTTCGCGACTATTGTGAACGAGCGCCGGGACACGTCTCAGTCGAGCCCTCGCCGCCGGACAAACACGTTCGACGTGCACCGTCCGCGACGGGCGATCAACGCGCTTGCTCGCGTGTGCCCGTACCCTATCGTCCGGCGTACGTGCAGCCTCGCACATCGTCGCTGGGGCCACTCCGTTTCCACTATCTTTACCATATAATATGATGTATACACAATAATAATAATATATATTTTATTATTGCATATTTTATGTATAATATAAACGTAGAGGATAAGTCACACGACCCGATGATTATTACTAATTGTTCTCATGTCTGTAAGATTTTGATATTGTGTACCTACGTGTTTTTTTTTGTGTCTATCGACGTATACCGTATACGTATGAATGTTTTTTTTTTAACCTATATTAAATTTACGTGTTGAACGTAGCCTATATTAGGCGATTTCTTTTCTTTCTTTTTATATAATTTATTTAATAAACACTGTTACCAAACACATTTTTATCTACATAACTTTTGTTCTTATTTATCATACCTATACAACTAATGTATTGTATTCCCATCACAAACATCGGAAAGAGTGCTAACAGAAACCGTATGTTTGGACAAACATAAACAGCATATTGTCATACACGAAGCATTTATTATGATTTAAAACAGTATTCTAATGGTGTGAATTTTGACGATCTTTGGTTTTATATATTAAACTGAATACGGGGACTTGCAGAAACACAGTTGGACGCCTGGACACTTTGTGTCAGCGTTTTCGTAACTACGACCACCTGCATTGAATATTCGAATTAATTTTATTCACAATATAAAAATTCATATTTTCGTTACTACCATATAGGCTAGTGTGGTCCAACTTTTGCACTTCATTGACATTTTACTCGTTCACATATTAATATACGGGAAAAAAATTATTCATATTATTATTAATTTCATCATCATATCACACAATACTATTTATTCACAATCTGTGTCATAGAGTTTATAAGAAACAGAAAAATAAATAAATAATTTTTTCTGGAATTTCTATGGGTAAATTGTATAAATCTTATACATTTTTTAATCATTATAAAATGGTTCAGCATAACAATAACCGTACCAATAGACTAAAACTATAGTAATACCTTTAAAAATACGGTATTATACTATTATATATACGTTGAGTACGTCTTACCTATACTCTGTTCAAGTTAAGGAACTTAGTTGGCGGCTGATTTGTGCCAAGAGGCATGACAATACTACATGGCAGGTGCACAAATAGTTGGCACGATGGGGTTGACAAACGGGGCGGTTGCCTGACTGCTGCTCGACGAAAATCGTTTCTTAGTTTATTTAAACAGAGTACAGTATTAGTACTCACCACTCGACTACTGGCTTAAAAACGTAAAATCACCGATCGAGGTAAGTGTCAAGACGATGGCAGACAAGGCAAATGAACCGCGTGTGTGTCCTGCAGACACGGTACATAATCTGAGTAAAAAATAACAAACAACGATAAATTCCACGTGCAAATAAAACTATTGAACACTATCCGTTTATATATACATATATATATTATATGCATATGGTAGAGAAAAATATTGTTAACGTCAACAAAGACGCAGTGTTTAATAATACAACTTCGTGGTGTAAAAATATAAGTGGAAAACAAAACTTTTAAATACGAAGCTTTTGGATGGACCAAAACGAAATTTCAAATTTTTGGTACCTCCAATTATTAATGTTATTGATATTTGCCTGTTGGCTGCTGGATTGTTTATTATATTATAATTGCGTTTTGAAGTAAATAATATAATAATATTACAATTTTCGATTGTGTTCCTCTCGAATTGTAAGAAAAAAATAAATTATGAAAAAAATATTTTTATGTACAATTATAGTTATTAATATATTATTATATTATATTTCATACTACAGCGACTCTTGAAACGTTGTGTAGTATTGTATTATGTACCCTAGCAAACATTCTAGAATTTTCATAATTAATCATGTCGTACAAAAGGTATTTTAAATTTAATTTTTACGTCATTGTTGTACTTCACTACGAGTCTATGACACCGTAACACTACAGTACATCGTTATATGTAAGTGCGCTATATAACTATACATACCAATACCACTTGTTATAATAGTCATAACCTATAGATGCGCAAGTGTGTTTTCGCGAGTCACAAGTATGTGAGATTAGATTATCGCTATTCTTTTCGTAGTATATTATCATTAGATACTTATTACTGTAGTACTCCATAAAATATGTGTGTATTCGTGACGAAGGAAAACTGTATTGGCCAACTATGAGAATATACTTATATATTATTAAATACACAACGTACCAATGTACTATGTATTACCATTTACCATACGTTTTATGTATAATAATTAATAATAAATGTTTATTTTATCAAACAAATAGACAATACAATGTAATAATATTTTACAAAATTAAAAAATAAGTGATGGATCTCCTCAAAAGCCAATGGCTGTGAAATATGAGAGACTGAGAGAGTTCTACAAAGTATTATAGACTATAGTTCCCTACTTAAGTTTGACTATATTTAGTTAATAAGAAAAGAAGTCGAATAAACTTGTATTTAGGGCATTGTAGCTCAAAAAATGTTCTTATATTTGGAATAATATTATCATATTATATTATTATAAATAATACTATCATGCTGCTGTTTAAGGTATTATGTTCACATGACATGTACCAATACCAGCATACACCAAATAAGTCCTTAAACCCTTTTGTAGGGGGGGGGGGGTAAATTAAAGATTTAAACTTGGTTTTTATGTATATATTACACATAGCTCTGAATTGATTAATAATTATTATAAAATATTTATTAATTGTTTAAGTATGTTTAAAGTCAACATACCCTCTGTGTCTCCGTTATTTACATGACAAATTTTACGTTCAGAATAATTATATTTAATATTAGAGTAGTTTTACATATGATCAGAAGTAAAGGTAAGAATATTATTTAGAGCCACTCGTAGACTTTTTTTGATATTTTAATTTTGAAGCAAATTATTTTGTGAGTTATAAACTGTATACTTAAAACCGTTTCAACTCTCTGTCTACCCTCCTGTATTGGAATAGAAGCCATCAAAAAGTATTATTAATGAAGAGTAAAGATATTATTGGACAATGTTTTGAAAATAATAAGGCAATAATCTTACAATAATTTTTTTAAGCTCTACATAGCAAATCCAGTGAGCATCCATAACAAATCGAATCGAGAAAGTGAATAACATAGGAACAGAACAATCGAGCATTCACAGGGAACAGTATTGGTTGTCTGGTGCAGAAATTCGACTGAGAAATGATGGCAAAAAGCAAGCTGAAAAAATACACTAGTACTGTAATACAACAAAAATCAAAGGTTACGGGAGTACTGTCCATTTACCTCCCCCCATTGAAATATAATAAATTATTATTTATTATTATAAACTATTAATTATATTATAAACACTCCTCAGCTGCTGCCATACTCATTATATTAATATCGCTTCGGAAAAGATATAACAGCTATTTATGGCTTTAAGACACGTCGGCATTAAATATCATTGTAATTGTTATTTTATTAAAAAACTAGAATAAAGCCTATAATAATAATCTATAAATAAGAAATGTGACTAACGAACGATTTTAATCATACCATCTATATTGGATATAATATTGCTTTCAGTGGTGGCTAAGACTTAGGTCCTTGTGTTGTTTAAGCAACACATATAACATTTGGTAGGTGGGTTGTGGAAGGGTGAATAAAAAATTGGTGATTATCAATTATTTGTAAATTTTAATACAATATTATAATAGTGTATTAGTGTTAAATAATTTGCATGCACTATAACGATTAATTGTATAATAAATAATTATTAACTACCCGAAATAACATAAATTGAAAAAAACTAAAAAAGAATAAAATTTAAAATAGATACTTATAAATCCCTATTATTTTGTAAGTATAAGTGGGTCCTCAGAAATATCATTAGGAACACATATTATTTTGAGGATAGGTATAGTCTCTGATTGTTTTACTTGATTGCACCAATAAACTCTATACATAATATTAAATATATATATATATATGTATAGTGTTACTTAAAAATATAATAACACTGCTTAGTGCTTAGAATATATTTGTAAAAAATTACGTTCAAATTACATTTCAAATGAACTATGTCCGCATATATTTTATAAAATAATAGTCGACGCTTTACTCAATTCGCCCGACAAACACGTATTCAATTGTTATACAGCACACTGCATAATCGTTTTATTATTATATGTGGCTGATGAGATTAAATAAGAATGGTTTTACGTGCTACAAGATACCTGTGCGGACGATTTGTGATTTTCTGTGTTTTGGTGCGATTTTTGTACGATATGTAGATAAGAGTATAATAGGACTACTGACTATCTTTAAACTATGTAAAACATTTTTTGAGTTTGTTTTATATTACTTCGTAATCTCGCAAACCACAAACGCTATCAAGTATTCACATATTATTTAGTTCAGTTGGTGATCCCATCGGTTTTTGTATACCTAGGTGCTTACAATAAAAAAAATTCTTTAGAGGCAATTTACTGCAATGTTTGCCGGGTAAACTATTTGATAATATATTTATATATATGTATAATTATGATACTTTTGTATTATTTTGACATCACTATATCAATACGATAAATAATACGAATAACTAATATTTTGACTCATTATTAATTTGCCAACATTCTGTCGTAACACACAGAATGTATTTCTAAATCACACGACGTATAATATCCATACTTAGTGATAAATTTTATTCATTATTGTATATATTATAATGCTCATTTTTAAACTAAACCGCCTAGTATTTTACCATAGTATTTTACATTTTTTTGTATGGTCAATAAGAGTCTTTCACTCAAAAGAGGTGTAGTTAACGATTAAAAATATAATCAATATTTTTTTCTTTAAAATCAGTTAATTAAATAATTGTAAATGCATTCAAAGAAACCAGATTGGAACTGTGGAGTGCAGATACACCTGCTATTATTTTTAGCAACCATCATTTCAAAGTCAATCTAACACTCAGACGAGATTCGAACTTAACAATTAGTTCAATCTACTAGAGCACAATGCCTAAATAAATGTATACAGAGTGCACACTGTGCATATATAGACCATAAGGCATAAACATATGCATATATATATATATATATGCAAATGGGTTTGGAGGTTTTAAGTCATAGAGTTACTAATCCTCCAAATGTTTTCCATGTTGTACCTATGTAATTTATTTTTATGATCATCGTTAGCTGGGTATTGACTATTGAGTATTGCTAGTTAAACGTTATATAACTTGTCATAATGATATTATATCATTATAATTTATAACTAATTAGTCATGATTAATGAGAAGCTTAAAAACATGTCTAAGAACTTTTCGTCAATTGTTCAAATACGTTTCAACTCTGTGTCCACTTATTCAGTATTCAGTTATATTAAAATCAA